GCTGAGGATTGTAGATACATGGTAATTCACGACTACTTTTCAAGCCAAGACATGGATAAAGTACACAAACCACATACTGAACAAGTCACCCTTCCTGCAGGTCTAAGAGGGCTGATTGATTAAGATGACGCGTGTGACCGCTGTGGCTCCCCAGTCTGAAAACTTGGCACCAGAAGACACTGTGTAACTGCCAGTCTTACTGTTGTGCTTGGATCGCACTGCTCGGAACTCAGGAGTGTCACAAACTTTGGGGGCTGAAGACATTTCCCTGAAGCCTTGGCAACTGAGACCTCATTTACAGCTCCTGTGCTGGGAGAGGATTTCTTCTGTGCTTACCTTCACCCTTCACCCCAGTGAGGGCGTGGGCAGGAGAGATTGGCACACTGGGTAAGAAAGAGAGACAGCCCAGCCAAATACTCTGCACCATTTTGTAAGGAGAAATCAGGCATGGAAAGCCTTGAAGACTCTGGGCTACCTCAGGCAGAATTTGCTCAAGAATAATCTTACTCTTTTTGTTTTTAATTTATTTTCTCAAAAATTGAGATGGGCCAGGCATGATAGCTTATGCCTATAATCCTGGCACTTTGGGAGGCTGAGAAGGGAGGATGGCTGGAGCCCAGGAGTTCGAGACCAGACTGGGCAACAGAGTGAGATGCTGTCTCTATAAAAAAAAAAAATACAAAAATTAGCCGGGTGTGGTGGCACATGCCTGTAGTCCCAGCTACTTGGGAGGCTCAGGTGGGAGGATTGCCTGAGCCCGGGAGGCTGGGGCTGCGGTGAGCCAAGATCGCACGACCACATTCCAGCCTAGGCGACAGAGTGAGACCCCATCTCAAAAAAAGAAGTGAAAAAAAAAAAACAGAGATGGAGTCTGTGTTGCCCAAGCTGATCTCAAACTCCTGGGCTGAAGTTATCTATCCACCTCAGCCTCCCAAAGTGCTGGGGTTACAGGCATGAGCCACTGTGCCCACAGGTCTTGCTCTTGGTGGCTGTGTTCAGAGCTAACAGCCCCTCATATTCCTTCAGCGTGCCCCAAATACATATACAATCTAAGTAAACACAATGTCTGTTCTTCACAACCTACCCCAAGTCCCAAACAAATGGCTGCCCCCAGGCTCCTTTCAGATACATATTCCACAACCACCATTCTTACCAGCTTTACATTGCGGCACCTGTAGAGTTTTATAGCCAGCGCTATAGGAAGGCAAGTCCCAGGATCCAAGTCCCAGGAGGTTAAAAATAGTTTGTCATTTCTTCAGCAAGATACCAGGCGCTGTTGAAGTGACACTGTGTAACCAACAAGCTTATGTAAGGATCATGCCCCTGGCTTTCCCCACACCCTGCCCTAGATGAGGCAAATACAAGTGTATTGATGCCTATGGGGCAATCTTTGCCCACTGGGGCCTGGGAGCAGAAGGGTAAATGCTTCCCCATTTCCTCTCCCCTGACCCTAGGATGTTCCTGAGATGCATTTCATAAATCTTCTCAGAAGGTTCTGTGTAGGGGTAGCCAACTCAATACCTCATTATTTTATTGTGATGGGGTTCAGAACACACTACCCCAAAATATGGCACCTTGGCATTTAAGGAAACAGCAGAAGCGGGAAAGTCTCTCTGACCTTTTCTTGACCTTCTCCCCTGAAACAGACCAGAAAAGAATGTTCTTACATTCCCCTAAAGTAGGTCATAAGGGCCAGGTGCAGTGGCTCATGCCTGTAATCCCAGCATTTTGGGAGGCCAAGACAGAAGGACTGCGTGAGGCCAGGAATTCAAGACCAGCCTGGGCAACATAGTGAGACCCTGACTCTGCAAAAAAAAATAAAAAAATTAGCCAGGCACGGTGGTGCATGTGTATGGTCCCAGCTACTCAGGAAGCTGAGGTTGGAAGATTGTTGGAGCCCATAAGGTCAAGGCTGCACACTGCAGCTTTGATGGTGCAGCTCCACTCCAGCCTAGGCACCAAAGCAAAATCTTGTCTTAAAAAAAAAAGTAGTTGATAGGTCATAAAACCCTCATTCAGGCCAGACGAGGCACCTGTAATCCTAGCACTATGGGAAGTGGAGGTGGGAGGATCACTTGAGTCCAGGAGTTCAAGACCAGCCTCGGCAACATCGTGAGATCTCATCTCTATAAAAATGTTAAACCATTAGCTGAGCATGGTGGCAAGGTGGGAGGATCACTTGAGCCTGGTAGGCAGAGTTGCAGTGAGCACTATACTCCAGCCTGGGCAACAGAGTGAGACTCTGTCACAAAATAAATAAATAAATACCCTAATTCCAGAGGTGCCCTCCCTATGCCTGAAGGAAAGAAATGTCCTTATCGCTGAAGACACAGAGACCCAGAGAAGAATTTGAACAAATGAGCCTTGCTAAATTCCCCCCAGTGGATTACTGTTAGGTCCTACCTCCTTTGTCCAATCATACCTCTCCATGACTGGCCACTCTTCATCAAACCTAAACATGAAAAAACAAAAAACAAAAAACAAAAAAAAAACCCCACAAGCTTGACTGGGCACAGTGGCTCACGCCTGTAATCCCAGCACTTTGTAGGCCAAGGTGGGCAGATCTCCTGAGGTCAGGAGTTCAAGACCAGCCTGGCCAACACGGTGAAACCCTGTCTCTACTAAAAATACAAAAAAATTAGCCAGGTGTGGTGGCGCTCGCCTGTAGTCCCAGCTACTCAGGAGGCTGAGGCAGAGAAATTGCTTGAACCTGGGAGGCAGAGGTTGCAGTGAGTTGAGATCATGCCACTGCACTCCAGCCTGGGTGACAGAGTGAGACTTCATTTCAAAAAAAAAAAAGAAAACAAAAACCACACAAGCTTCCCTCTTTCATGGTTCTTCATTTGTTTTTTTGCTTGTTTGTTTTGAGACAGAGTCTCACTCTGTCGCCCAGGCTGGAGTAAAGTGGTGTGATCTCGGTTCACTGCAACCTCTACCTCCCGGGTTCAAGCAATTCTCCTGCCTCAGCCTCCCAAGTAACTGGGACAACAGGCGTGTGCCACCACACCCAGCTAATTTTGTATTTTTAGTAGAGTCAGAGTTTCACCATGTTGGCCAGGCTGGTCTCAAACTCCTGACATCAGGTGATCTGCCTGCCTCGGTCTCCCAAAGTGCTGGGATTATAGGGATAAGCCACCGTGCTCAGCCGGTTCTTCATTTCTGAAGGCCCCATGTTACATCAAATGCATTAAATAAATTAATATGCTTCTTTTTATTTATTTGTTTGAGATGGAGTCTCATTGTGTCACCCAGGCTGGAGTGCAGTGGTGTGATCTCGGCTCACTGCAACCTCTGCCTCCAGGGTTCAAGTGATTCTCCTGCCTCAGCCTCCCAAGTAGCTGAAGCTACAGACGCCCACCACCACACCCGGCTAATTTTTTTGTATTTTTAGTAGAGATGGGATTTCACTATGTTGGCCAGGGTGGTCTCGAACTCCTGACCTCAGGTGATCCACATGCCAAAGCCTCCCAAAGTGCTGGGATTACAGGTGCAAGCCACTGCGCCCAGCCTGAATATGCTTCTTTCTTGTTAACTTGTCTTTTATTATAGGTGCCTCAGCTAAGGTACTCAGGAATCTCAAAAGATATCACTTGGCTTCTGAAAGTGACCCAGTAGGGCACAGTGGTGTGGGTCTCCTTAGATCCCATCTTCTATTGGTGCTGCACGTGAACCTTTTCTGTTGTAACCAGTCAGGCATTGACTCTGAGAAGTCCTCATGCAACCCATAGAAGGAGGAGAAGATGATCCCTCTATCTACAGTGGATAGGCATAGCAGGTGAATTCTTTTCACTAAATCCTGTTTCATTTTGTTGATTCACTAGAACTCATCTTGTGGGAGGACCACTGACTCACCATGCAAAAATGGGAAGATCAGTTTCATTAGAAGTGGGATGTTTCACACGCTTCTTATATACACATTTCAGGACACAAAGTGGGGTGACGTGGTTTGGCTGATGTCTAAGTGCCCTCAACCCAACAACAAGATTTTAACCAAATATAGCAAGGAGTCTTCAATTTGAGAATCCAGCTCCTTCTTCCAAAGCAGATGATAGGTGAGAAGAAGGGAGGGGGGTGGGGAAGTGGGAGAAAGATGGGATTCCAGTTAAAATAAACCCAAGAAGAAAGAGCAGAATTCTAAAGAGAAGGAAAGAAAAACCTCATCTACACCTTCTTCTGTTTGAGTACCTAGGTCTGACCATAATCGTTTTCAAAGCGACAGAAAACATCCAGAAATATATGTGTCACGCATGGTAACGGTTGAGTTTTATCTTGAGTGGGAAACTAAGATGGCAAGTAGTTAAAAAAAAAAAAAGTAGTGTTTCAGTTTTTAGCACTCATCACAGATCGAAATTCACATTTTAAGCTCAAAACTAACTGTTTTATAAATTATAAACTTATTTTGATGTATTAAAAATCTGAATACTGGAACAAAAACTTATTTCTGAGTTTTTCAAAAGTGTGTGGGAAAAAAACAAAAACAAAAAACCAAAAAACTCCTCTTTTCCATGTCCTTCTCTGGCAGCAGGGGGCTGTTGACATCTACCAAAGTCCTGAGTATCTAGTTATACAACATCCTGAAGGCTAGCTAGAAGCACGAGCTGTGCAATCCCACTCCTAGGTATTTACTCAAGAGAAATGAAAAGTTACATTCGCATGAAAACCTGCACAAATGTTGGCTGGCCGTGGTGGCTCACACCTGTAATCCCAGCACTTTGGAGCCCGAGGCGGGCGGATCACGAGGTCAGGAGATCGAGACCATTCTGGCTAATACGGTGAAACCCCGTCTCTATTAAAAATACAAAAATTAGCCGGGAGTGGTGGCAGGCGCCTGCAGTGCCAGCTACTGGGGAGGCTGAGGCAGGAGAATGGCATGAACCTAGGAGGCGGAGCTTGCAGTGAGTCGAGATCACGCCACTGCACTCCCGCCTGGGCGATAGAGTGAGATTCTGTCTCAAAAAAAAAAAAAAAAAAAAAAGGAAAAAGAAAAGAAAACCGCACAAATGTTTATGTACTTTATTCATTCCACGCTGGGCACAACCCACATGTCCTTCACCCGAAGAATGGATAAGCGAACAGAGGCACATCCATACAATGTAATATTTCTCTGCAACAAAAAGGAACAAAAGATGGATGTATGCAGATTATGCTAAATGAAAGAAACTAGTCTCAAAGGGCTGTATGATTCCGTTTGTATAACTAAAAAGCAAACAGAAAACTGACCGCTGGGCATACAGGGGGTAGGGGCAAATAGAAGGAAGGGATTGAAGCTGGGCACGGTGGCTCATGCCTGTAATCGCAGCACTTTAGGTGGTCGAGGCAGGAGGATCACGTGAGGTCAGGAGTTTGAGATCAGCCTGGCCAACATGGTGAAACCCTGTCTCTACCAAAAGTACAAAAATTACCCAGGTGTAGTGGTGCACGCTGCAGTCCCACGTACTTGGGAGGCTGAGGCAGGAGAATCGCTTGAAACTGGGAGGTGGAGGTTGCAGTCAGTGAGCCGAGATTGCACCACTGACCTGCAGCCTGGGTGACAGAGGGAAACTCCGTTTCAAAAAAAAAAAAAAAAAAAAAATTGGAAGGGATTGATTACAAAAGGACGCAAGGGAATTTTTGAGGGTGATGGAGCTGTTCTATATCTTTATTACAGTGGTGAGGGTTACAAAGTTGTATTTCATTTGTCAATCCTCATAGAATTGTACACTGCCAAAACGAAGTGAATTTTACTTTATGTAGATTATACTTCCATTTAAATTATTTATTTATTTTTAAAGACAGAGGTCTCCTTATATTGCCCAATCATGCCTCAGCCTCCAGAGTAGCTGGGACTACAGGCGAACACCCTATAGGTTATATACATTTAAAAAAAAAAAAAAAAAAGACATGGGCCTTGGGGTCACCAGCCTTACAGAACCTCAGCCCCACCATTTCTTTAGCTGTGTGACTTTGAACAAGTTCCTTAAGACTTCTGGGCCTTGGTATCGTCAACTGTACATGGTGATGTAATAGTTCCTGGTTCACAGGTTGGTTAGGAGGATGCAGTGAATGTGTATATGTAATGCAGTGCCCAACACCTATTCTGCATTAGGTCTCACTATGACTAGCCGGCCAAGAGTCACAGCATGAAGTCCCTTCTCAGCTGGGCCTAACATCTGTCTGCCCTGTGCTCTATCTCCCACCTCCCTCCAAGTGGCCCTCTGCCCAGCCTGGATTCCTAGGAGGTACCACCCCAGGGCAGCTAGCTTCTTGGCATTTTATCAGACTACACTAAACATTGTTTGATTATAGGTTCCAATACTCTTTTTTCTTTAGTTTTGGGGGGCAAGTGTGTGTGTCATATTGCCTAGCTAACACTTTCTCTTGAAAACTTTCTGTCCAACTTCACCGTTTTAAAGATCCCAAGCAGACTTTTTCATAGTTAGTAAGTTATGTGAAATGTCCCATTCATTATATTAAGTAACAAGATGAACCTTTCCTGATAGATTTTCATGGGTTAGGATGAAGTTCGGGGCAGTAACCACATGTGTACTGTGGGCAGGATTTGACAGGGACAATCACACTGTGAGAGTTTATGGAGACCCTGTCTGTGCCAGGAGTGCTGGGCCTCTAGGCAGTCACACAGCTCCTTCCCAGCTTCTGAACCTGAGTATACATGCTGTCAATATGCAGACACCTCACCTCTTGGGGTCTCTGTTTCTTCACTGTGATTTTTTTTTTTTTAAGATGGACTCTTGCCCTGTTGCCAGATTGGAGTGAAGTGGTGCAATCTCGGCTCAGCGCAACCTTCGCCTCCCAGGTTCAAGCGATTCTCCTACCTCAGCCTCCCGAGTAGCTGGGATTACAGGCGCCCACCACCACACCTGGCTCATTTTTGTACTTTTAGTAGAGACAGGGTTTTGCCATGTTGGCCAGGCTGGTCTCGACTCGGCCTCCCAAAGTGCTAGAATTACAGGTGTGAACCACCGCGCCCAGCTTTTGTATTTTTTGGAATTTTTATATTTTTAGTAGAGACAGGGTCTCACCATGTTGGCCAGGCTGGTCTCAAACTACTGACCTCAAGTGATCCACCCACCTCAGCCTCCCAAAATGCAGGGATTACAGGCATGAACCACTGCAACTGGTCTCTCCACTCTGATTTTAAAGGCCCATTCTGGACCCATTCCAGGGGTCTATGACTTGGAAACGTCATTGTAATCAGTGGTGGCTATGGGAACTGATAATGGTGGTGACAGTGGTGGTGAAGATGAGGATGCTTCCAACCTGGAGAAGAGGAAGAAGTTAAAGGAGGGCAGGCACAATGGCTCATGCCACAGTCCCAGCACTTTGGGAGGCCAAGGTGGAAGAATCACTTGAGCCCAGGAGTTAAAGACAAGCCTGGGCAACAGAGCAAGGCCCGTTTCTATAATAATTGTTCTTAATTGAAAAAAAAAAAAAGAAGTTAAAGGAGTGTTTTTAATGGAAGTAGCTAATTTACAAGTTTCCATTCCTTTTGCTGCTTTGAGACTGCTTGTGAAGGACTAGAAAAATATATAACCCCTCAAATGCAGTAGGAGAATGGGAAGAGAGCACAGGAGGGCTTCGACTGATATTTTTTAAGTTTTATTCCTTAAAAACATGTGTAAGTCAATTCATTAAAACCAAAAGTTAAATAGGGGTGTTCAGAGTCCATACCCATGAGTTATAAGGCACTCTGCACTTTTTCACATGTTCAAAATGTTTCTCAATCATTTTTTTTTAAAGAGACACCATCCCTTCTTAAGTAGTCGTGAAAACTGTGGTGCAGGGCATTTTTCATCACAGAAAGGGTATTTCTGTGTCTAGCTGAGCAATCAATTATTCCTTGGAAACAACATCCCGCTGATTTGTTCTCCTTCTCCCCTCCGAATGTTGCACAGGATCCTGCCTATACCGATGCTTGGATAAACGAATAAACTAACGGATACTTAAGTTTCTTTATTTTCTTACTTTTTGATTTTTTTAATTTTTGAGAAGGATTCTTGCTCTGTCACCCAGGCTGCAGTGCAGTTGCACAATCTCGGCTCACTGCAACCTCTGCCTTCCAGGTTCGAGCAATTCTCCTGCCTCAGCCTCCCTAGTAGCTGGGATTACAGGCATGTGCCATCACACCCAGCTACTTTTTGTATTTTTAGTAGAGATAAGGTTTTACCACGTTGGCCAGACTGGTCTCAAACTCCTGACCTCCGGTGATCAGCCTGCCTTGGCCTCCCAAAGTGCTGGGATTACAGGCGTCAGCCACCACGCCCGGCCTTAAGTTCCTTTAAACCCTTCATACTAGCAGGTCAGCTCCGCCTCCATACTCCTTGCCCCACCCGGGCCGACATCCTGCTGATGGAGCAGCTTTGAGCAAGCTTTGCTCAAGGGCAGCTCCCAAGAGAACTCGGGTGCCCTGGCTGGGCCAGGGAATAAATAGGACTGTGCGTTTCAAAGGAAGGGACGAAGGGAGGGGTGAATCAGCCTCCCCTCAAAGGCTAAAAATAATCTGGCTTTGTAGACTCTTCCTCCAACTACTCAGGGCCCGGAAAACGGGAGGTGGGGAGAAAAGGGTGGGATCTTTGCATCAGTCCTAACTATTAAGCGTGTGTTTGTCAGAAAAGAGTTAAAAGGGAACCTTCATCCTAGGCTGTCTTCAAAGTCTACTTCTTATAACTTGAACTCGTCACTCATCTTGTTTGTAATAAATGCAATTAGAAGGAGCCAGGTGGGTTCCCTCTGTTGTCTTGTCCCACTGTTGTCTCTTGTCTCACAGTTTAGAGAAAAGCCCAGACAGGCACCGGATGCAAGTCAGCCTCCCTGGAGCCTGAATCCCCACATGCACCTGAGCCTGGACATATGGGTACAGAATCCTATCTCTTTTCAGGTGGTTTGGGCTGATCCCCTACATACTTTCATAACAAAGGAGACAATGAGCAGGAGATGCTTGTACCCTCCTTGAGAAATCCAAGTGGCGTTCCAGCCTTCCTGTGGTCAGATGCAAGCTGCCTGTGTGTGCCAAGGATGCAGTTTTCTCTTTACTGGGTTTTCTTTACTCCTGGTCTGCAAATTCTCTCAGTAAGACAAGGACTCCTTGCTGCCCAGCATGCTTCTCTACCCTACCTGAACCTGGGTGTTTGTAAACCTATCAGAAATTCCAGAGGGCTGACTTCCTTTATAAACCAGGTTAGAGACAGTCAGGGAAACCTATTTACTGGCCAGCACCTGGGGATGTCAGAGCTACAGCCTTGTAATGGGTTCCAGGACTACGTAATTTTCCCTGAGGCAGTAAGCAACATGGGAGGTTCTGCTCCTTTTCATCTGCTAGGTAAAACCTTTTCCCTGCAAACTAGGTCTTCCTAAGTGCAATGACTTGTGTGTGGAACTGCACATCATGACTGGCTCCAGCCTAGTCACCCTCCAACACAGAAGTCTCACCCAGTGGGGCACGAGGCTGCCACATAGCCACTTCCCTTTTCTTGGTGACTATGCCATCTCCATTGGTTGGAAAGGTATATCAAGGAGTCCAGCTTCCTTAACCCAGTTGTTATTGCCACATATTTGCCAGGATTTTATGTGCTGCAGAAACACTTCAATTTTTTCATAGGATTGTTCCGAGTCAGGATGGTTCTGAGCAGCTTCCAAATGAGGTGAGAAGGCAGTAAACTCCCTGGACGTGGACTTGAAAAACCATCAGATTCCACCTCCTTAAATCCCAAAATACACTTCTTTGTTCTTTGAATTACTTACAAAAAATAATATGAACAGCTGACATCTCCTCAAGACTTACTCTCTACCAGGCTGTACCTGTGCTAAGCTTTTAAATAGATCAACTCCTTCAGTGCCCACATTTACAGGAGTTGGGGGTTGGGAGTGGGGGGCTGAGGTTTTTATTTTATTTTATTTTATTTTTTGAGACGGAGTCTCGCTCTGTCACCCAGGCTGGAGTGCAGTGGCTGGATCTCAGCTCACTGCAAGCTCCGCCTCCCGGGTTCAGGCCATTCTCCTGCCTCAGCCTCCCGAGTAGCTGGGACTACAGGCGCCCGCCACCTCGCCCGGCTAATTTTTTTTTTTGTATTTTTAGTAGAGACGAGGTTTCACCGTGTTCGCCAGGATGCTCTCGATCTCCTGACCTCGTGATCTGCCTGCCTCGGCCTCCCAAAGTGCTGGGATTACAGGCGTGAGCCACCGCGCCCGGCCAAGGGGGGGCTGAGGTTTTAACATAGTCATAAAAGGTTCCACTGTCATGCAACCCATAAAAGGGATTTGAACTCAGGTCTGTCTAGCTCTACATCCAGAGCTGGTAACCATGATGTCCAGAAGCGCTCTGTTGAGACACAAGTGGTCTAGTGTGGAAAGTGTACAAGAACAAACCCTGGAAGACTTGTGTTTGAATCTCTAGATCACATCCTAATTTTCTTTCTTTTCTTTTTTTTTTAAGAGATGGATTCTTGCTCTGTCACTCAGGCTGGAGTGCAGTGGCTCCATCATAGTTCACTGCATCCTTAAGCTCCTGGCCTCAACTCATCCTCCTGCTTCAGCTCTCCAAAGTGCTAGGATTGAGCCTACGTCCTAATTTTCTATATGACTGTGAGGACTAGCACCATCTCTCTGGGTGTCACAGCTGAAGAAAATAAACAATGGTATTAGGTCAGCCTGTTTCTCAAAAGTGCTTGCTTGTGTTTTACCACTAATCTCTAAAGGAAATGGAAAGGAGATAAGCAAACATACAAGAGGAAGCGACCAGGATTCTTCAGTCTTGCCAGGTCTTCTTAGAAAGATCATAGGAGGGTGGGGCCCCTTTTCTAGATGGCATCTGGAGACCAAACCCCTCCCACCTGCCTTCTCTGGGTTGTCTGAAACCTTCCCACTATCATTAGACAAAGAAGTCCTAAAAAACCACCTCAAAATGGGCCAGTTTAGGAGTCCAGGTTTCAAGGGCTTCATTTACATCTCGAGGGAAATAAGCTGACCCCTTTTCCAGTTACTGAAGCCATTAAACTCAGAAAGGGCTCTCCCCAAAAACAAGCAAGAGAGGTGTCTGAACAGACCCTGAAAAGGCCCCATAATGGGCATCAAAATTATTTGAAGTTTGATCTACATCTTTTAAAATATAGACAAAGGGCTGGGCACGGTGGCTTACACCTGTAATCCCAGCACTTTGGGAGGCAGAGGTGGGTGGATCATGAGGTGAAGAGATGGAGACCATCTTGGCCAACATGGTGAAACCCCATCTCTACTAAAAATACAAAAATTAGCCAAGCGTTGTGGCAGGCACCTGTAGTCCCAGCTATTCAGGAGGCTGAAGCAGGAGAATCTCTTGAACCTGGGAGGTGGAAGTGGCAGTGAGCCAAGATCTCACTGAGAGGTGAAGCCAGATGGACTTCCTGGGTCAAGTGGGGACTTGGAGAACTTTTCTGTCTTAGCAAGGGGATTGTAAAATGCACCAATCAGCACTCTATAAAAACGCACAAATCAGTGCTCTGTAGCTACCAATAGGATTGTAAAATGCACCAATCAGCACTCTGTAAAAATGCACCAATCAGCACTCTAGCTAGCAAGAGGATTGTAAAATGCACCAATCAGCACTCTGAAAAATGCACCAATCAGCACTCTGTAGCTAGCAAGAGGATTGTACAATGCACCAATCAGCGCTCTGTAAAATGTACCAATCAGCGCTCTGTAAAATGCAATAATCAGCAGGATCCTAAAAGTAGCCAATCGCAGGGAGGATTGAAAAAAGGGCACTTTAGTTAGACAGAAATGGAATATGATAGGGGCCAATAAGGGAATAAAAGCTGGCCACCCCAGCCAGCACTGGCAACCCACTCTGTTCCCTTTCCATGCTGTAGAAGCTTTGTTCTTTAACTCTTCACAACAAATCTTGCTGCTGCTCACTCTTTGGGCCCATGCCACCTTTAAGAGCAATAACACTCACCGTGAAGGTCTGCGGCTTCATTCTTGAAGTTAGTGAGACCACGAACCCACTGGCAGGAACAAACTGCAGACACAGCACCATTGCACTCCAGCCTGGTGACAGAGCAAGATGCCGTACTGTTATTCCTCCCACCTCATAGATAGGGAAACTATTCTCCACTTCATTGCTGCCTTTCCTTTAATTACACCCAAGGATGTACTACAATTGGCCTGTGGCTTCTCCCACTTTGGACATTATGGATGTGTGCCTTCCCTTCATGAAGACTGTATGAGAATCTTTATTATTATCATTTTCAAACTATAAAATATATAATAAACATTATGGTAAGCATAATTCCCTCCAAGCTTCATCCTTCTGTAAGGCTGAGAAGCCCCTTCTACTCCTCTGAGAATCCCTGAAACATGAAGTTGCTTTGGGTGTTGCATTATTTCAGATAAAGACCCAGTTTAATGTGGTGATAAGCAGCTTGGACTCAAAGCATGGGCTCAGGAGTTACAAATCCCCACTCAGCCACCTCCCCCTTGTGTGATTTTGGGCTACTCATGTACCCTCTTAGCCTCAGTTACTTACCTGTAAAATGGGGGTAATAATAGGACTTACCCATAGGGATGTTGGGAGGATTAAATGAGCTAATGCACATATAATGCCTGTCACAGAGTAAGTGATCAAGAAATATCAGCTGCTTTTCTTATTAAAGAGACTTTGGACGGAAGTTGCTTTAAGCAAGACCTTTTAGGTAACATACTTCCAAGGATGGGAAAATTACTGCCATTGATTTCAAATAATCTTCAGATGTCAGACCAGACATATTGACGTTTGGCTGAAAATGGGATCTCTAAAACAATGTCTTAGATTCTGAGCTGGGAGTGGGTATGGGGTAAAGTCTACTGACTCCTGTAACCCAACTGAGTACCTTTATGAACCTGAAATCCATTTACAGGGAAGAGTGAATCCAAGAGATACTATAGGGTGATCCCTCTGAGACCACAGCAGAACTGAGCCTTGCTGGTTGCAGATGTAATGAGATCACAGTTGCCCTGCCCCAGGGGACAGCCCTACTCACTCTCAACCCCCACTGAGCTGACAGTACCAGTTATCACCCTGGCTACCACCTCCCCTCCAGCTCCCATGTTCTCATCTCTTGTTGCACTGAGAACTCATAGAGACTGGGCCATGAGGCTTCATTCATGTCCATACACCCACACCTGGAACACAGCACATGTTCTGTAAACCTTTGCAGAACTCATTCACAGGAAGCTATTAAATGCCCTCCTCTCTTCTCTAAGGTGGATCTGTGTAATCAGTGCTAGTCCTGTGGCCTATATGTTTGGGTCAAAACGAATGCCGTCCAGCCTTTATATTCTTCCTTTCCCAGATTTGGTCTGACAAAGATGCTTTGTTTGACCAAACTTTAGTCAGGCTCCTGAATCTTCTCCTAAGTTTATCTGTATACTTCCTTGTAAAGACAAGTTTAGCAAGAACCTGGCTAAATTGGTTTAGCCAGAATCCCCCACCCTCCATATCTGATCCCTCTTCATATCTGATTGGATTCCTCATCCTCCACCATCCCCAGGTGATGTCTGATCATCCTGCCCTGTCTTCAGTTAGCCAGAGTCCCCCTTATCCCACCTGCCAACCCCCACCCTGCTCCTGGCTAGAAATTCCCACTTGCCCATGCCGTATTCAGAATTGAATCCAGTTCTATACTGTGATCTCTTTTCCCCTAGTGAGATAGTCATGAACAGAAACCTGTTTTTACCACTTCAGTTACTGTCCAGCTCTGGTTTTACCTTGTCAGTACATACGGCTGCCCTTCATTTAAGAGTCACCGCAAAGAGACAGGCCACTCAGTCACAATCTTTATATTCTTTATATTTTAATTGTGTAAGTACCTTGCCTCTCTGGTATCTTGTTCCCAAACATTTCTTCAGCTGGACCACTTAAGCCAATGAAAGAGCTAATCTATTTAACATTGATTCCATTAGCTTTGGTTTCCTGAACTCCTTTCCAAGTTGGGGGGAATGATGGGAAAAGGGGCACCTCTCCATAGCCTTCTCGGACCTGCCACAGGAGAGGCAAGGGAGCTGTGGTTGCTCTCCCACACTCTCATTTGAGTGTGACCTTGTCTCCCTACCCCAATCCTACACATGAAGATAGCAGAGAAGTAACATACCTGTATAAACTTAATAAGAGTGTGTCTCAATGGACCTAGTGGAGCCTGTATCCCCTACGCATAAATAGATTAGTCTTGTATCCTGGCAAAAACCCTGGATTTATAATCATGGGCCTTGCCTCCTGTTGTGACATTTCAGATAATCACTTAGCCTCCTTAGACCTCAATTCTTCATTTCTAAAAGCAGGATTAGCCTAAAATATTTTAATGTTCTCTGTAACACTAAAGAGTGGAAAGCACTATACAAACATGAAGAATGACTGGTCTCCCTGGAAAATGCCTTCCTTTCCCCACAGCACAAGCTGGTAGCAAGTTTCTGAGGGCAAAAGTCCCTAGGGAAACAGAAAAGGCCAGCAGATCACAGATCACATTCAAAACAGAAGAGGCTGCAAAGCTCCCCAGACATGACTTATTTGTGCAGAATATCTCCTGGAACCTTTGTGGAGACATGAGAATCTCCTGAAGTTACCTTCCCAGTGGAAGAATCTAAGCATCAATTGTCCTTAAGTCATATCAATGAAAATCTTAGGCCTGAACTGGAAGTTCCTAATATATTAACCAATGTAGTAACTGGCCCTTTTAGAGGGCAGAATATGTCAAGAGTTGCCTAAAGAACTAATAGTGCAACCTGTGCTCTATTGTCCAAAGCTATTTTGGGTCTTAAACCATAAGTGCAATTAAAAAAAAAATCAATGCTTTCAACAACTGAAAGTCAATTGAGTTACTTAAGCCTTTCCCCAACATATATGGCCATTGACTCTCCAGGAGTCTGGCTACAGCATTTGGGCCTGGTGCAGACACAAACTACTTAGCTAGCAGATAAAGATTATAGGGAGCTCCAATCATCCAATCAAGAAACTATTAAAATATGGGTCATAAATCTTCAGTTCTGTCACAGTTCACCAAGGACAAAGTCTGACAACCTTTCGTCCTCACTGAGAGGCAGCTCTATGGAGCTGGAATGACTGAGGGTCCTGTTTTCCCTTCTCTTAGCTGTAGCCTAAGGTATGGTGCACAAGCATCATCAGAGAACTTTTGTTTCCATACCTGAAAGGGAGTCTACTTTCCCCAAAGGTACCCAGAAGGTTTTTGCCAGTGTAGCCCCTCAACCTTAATCCTGAGTGCCTTCCACCTCCAGGAACACTGCCCTTGACCATGAGCAGGCTCCTGAGGACTCCTTGAGTCCTGCCCCTCACCGGCAGAGCTGTGAGTGTCAGAGGATAGAGGAGCAGTGTCTACCCCTGGATCTGAGCTCATTGAGGGTCTGTCCTGTGGCCAGAGTACCCAGGGAGTAAACTGACAGGGGCAGGATGCTCCAGGCACCTTGGGCCCCATCCCAGCACCACTAGCACTGAGAAGATCAATAGCTCAGCATACATTCATTATGCATTCCAGCATACCAACTGCGAAGCCCTGCTGGAGACCCTCTGCCCTCTAAGCCACGTTCATGGTTTCCTCATCTGCAAAATGGGAGAATAATACCAACGCCACTGAGTGATTGACTCCATGAGATAATTACGGCAGCCAAGTGCCCAATACAGTGCCTGACACATAGCAGGTACTCACCTGTGGTGGTGCATTTCCCTAGCCTCTCCCTCCACTCTAAAGTCCAATTGCTGAAGCCCCTAAGAAACACCTGATACTCCAGTTCCAGAGTGCTATGATCAATATCCAACCCTTGAAAGAAAACTATAATGAATAGTTCAGTTCAGCTTTTCCTCTGTTAAGGAAAACCATCCAAGATGAAAGTAAAGTAAAGATTACTGCATGTCTTTCCAATGTCATACAAGAGCATTTTCTAACAAGTCCACCTACAGGTTATCTGACATTCTATAACACAGGTTCTCAAAGTATGGTGCCTGGACCAGAAGCATCAACACTGTTATAAACACAAATTCTTAGGCACCACTCCAGACCTATTACCAGAAACTCTGAGATTTCTGTAATTAACAAGCTGTCCAGGATTGATGCACTCATCTGAGGAAATATGACTTTCCTCTGCTCTAAGTAAACATAATTTTGTGCTTACAAAAGTGCCTGACACAAAGTAAATGCTACGTAAGTACTGGCTGTCATAAATTAGCCTATGTAAATGTAAAATCGTGATGGTATATACATTGGAGCAAAAGGCACGGTCAGAGGACTAAAGATCTCTGAGTGGAAGCCTCAGGGCTGACCCAAAACTGTCACAACCAAGCAGGCAAAAATCAGGGAGGCAGAGAGTAATGTGGCTGTCTGTAGTTGATGAGCAAGGGGAAATCAGAGGCAGGGTATGGATGAGACAGACACAGCTGGAATGAAGTCCTTTTTTTTTTTTTTTTCCCAGACAGGGTGCCACTCTGTCACCCAGGCTGGAGTGCAATGGTACCAACCTAGCTCACTGGAACCTTCACCTGCTGGGCTGAAGTGATCCTCCTGCCTCAGCCTCCCCAGTAGCTAGAACTACAGGCACACACCACCACACCTGGCTAATTTAATTTTTTGTAGAGATGGGGTCTTGCTATGTTGCCCAGGCTGGTCTTGAACTTCCGGCCTCAAGCAGTCCTCCTGCCTCAGCCTCCCAAAGTGTTGAGATTACTGGCATGAATCACCATGCCCAGCCAGATGAAGTCTTAAGATCATACCTGGGAAGCCTTCAAGCTGTCTGGAGCAAGTTTGACCTTTTAGCTGAGAAGACGTTGGTCTCTGCTGGCGGACACTTCCAAGTCTGAAAGGTGTCAGGCCTACCTGTCTGTGCTTGTCTCCCCTGTTCCTGGCTGTGTTCCATTTCTCACAGTTCTCCAATAGCCTCAGGATAGTGCCACTGCTATCTCTGGGGGCATGAAGCAGGTAGCGTAGAGCAGATGAAGTTTAATCCTGGAGCCCACTTCCATTAGTCCGTTTGGGACAAAATAACATGGACTAGGTGGCTTATAAACA